GAGGTACATAGTGAAAACCTGTCTCATAAAACAAAACTAAACTAAAAAATTGGTGGACCTAGCCACTGATCAAATTGCCAGTACCTGGAAAGCAGTAGAGAAAGAAAGTATTTGCATGTGGAATTAAAACCTGACAACTTCTACATCCAGGGCTAGTTTCATGGGCGTAATCTGTGCAGCTACATACAGCTCTGAGCTCAAAGGCTCAGAAAGGCCCCAAGTTGGTTTAACATTCGCTGATACTATCCTAAAATTTGAACAAGGGTTTCCACATTTTCATTTTGCATGGAGCCTTGAAAACTGTAGTTTCTTGTCTGTATCTGGCTACCAGTTTACAGTAAACAAAAGTGTAGTTTAAAAAGATGTCCACAAATTCTTTGCTTCTCCCAGTAAAAAGTAGGGAGCCTACCTAGCTCCTTTCTCTTTGAGCACAGGCTATTGTGTGACTCGTTTGTAAGAAACTGAATGGATTGGAAATGATGATGTGTGATTTCCAAGAACATTAAAGACACTATGGCATTGGCCTTGCTCTGTCTCTAAGATCACTGCAGTGGGATAAGCCAGCTGATGTGCTGTGAGATCAAGCAGCTGTAGGAAGAGGGCCTTGGTGAAGAACTGAGGTATCACCAACAGCCATGCAAGTGCTCATCCCAGCCGAAGGAAGACCTCAGGTCACTACAAACCAACTTTAGTTTGAATGCAGCCTCTTGACAGACCCTGAGCTATAAACACTCAGCTAAGCGGCTCTTGAATTCCCAATGCATAAAAAGAGTGAGATAATGTTATTGTTCTAATTGGGGGCGAGGATGCTGAGGTTTTTTTGGTGCTGGAGATCAAATCCAGAGCCTTAAGCATGCAATAATCTGTTTTGAAGCAATCTGTTTCACAGGAATATATAATTAATATATAATCATAATTATGTGTATAATATATAATTTCTTAAGAATCAGGGAACACAGTGAATGATAGAATGGGGATGCAATCAGAAAAATCCAAACATTGGTAAATTCTGCAAAAAAATAAAAACAAAAATACAGTATCTTCAACCAAAAAGGTCAAAGAAAATAAATCCCATTATAAGAATCTTTTTTTTTTTTTGGTACTAGGGATGGAACTCAGGTCCTTGTGCTTGCAAAAGCAGGCGAAGGAACCACTGAGCTAAATCCCCGGCCCAAGGATCTCTTTTTTTTTAAAGTTAAGACAACAACAGAAACATATAAATACAAACTGGATATTTGATGGTATTTAATAAATTATTGCTGATTCTTTTAGGAAAGTGGGATGACAACAGTAATGTTTTAAAAAGAGAGTCTTTAACTTCCAGAGATATATAATAAAGTATTTATAATTGATTTGTATGGAATTTGCTTCAAAATGCCAGAGAGGGACAGAATTTATGGGAAAAGATTCATTACATAAGTCTGTTTATATGCCTGAAAAGTCCCATAATAAATGTATTTTAAGATGAGTAAGAAGATACTGGCACCAATAGACATAAATAACACAGCATAACACTTGAGTGTACTTAATAAAATCAAATAATTACAGGCAAGATAAAGACCACCAGGGTTTGAACTTTATATTGTCTAATATAATTAAAAGTGAACTTTTTTTTTTTTTGGTACTGGGACTCAAACTTGGGACCTTGCGCTTGCGGTGGCACCACTGAGCTAAATCCCTGACCCTAAAAGTAAACAATTTTTTAAGTGTCAAAACCAAATTCTAGATTCCACATTCCTAATGAACCTAATTAAGAAAATATTAAGGGGCTGGGGTGTAGCTCACTGGTAAAGCACTTCCAAGATGTGTGAGGCCCTGAGTTCAATCCCCAACACCACACCCCCCACCTTAGATAGCTCAGAAATGCTATCTTTGGAATATATTATTTGATACGATAATGCATAATAACCTCAAAAGTATTATGCTTTCTTTTTAATTGTTCAGTTCAAATCACAGTCATATTTAGTCACCAGACAGACTTTCTTCTTCCCCTATTTCACCTTAAGAAGAGTGTAAATTAGCACCTGGTATTGATTCGATAGACCTTTATCATCCACATAGAAAAGCAGAAGTAAAAAGGTTATGCTAACCTTTGATAGTAAAAAAGACATAAACAGATGCTATTCACAAATCTTAGTTTGCCAATGACAATTACCACCTGTTTTGCTTCATCTATTAGTGCATGAAAAAGAAGTCAAGACAGAAAAATCATGCAGACATGAATCTTTACTGCCAAGAATTGTATTTTACATGTCTTCATTAAAAACACATTCCAGGGGCTCAGTGGTTCTGCCAACTGCCTCACAAGTGCAAGGTCCCAAGTTCGATCCCCAAAACAAAACAAAACAAACACATTCCACAGAGTAATGCAAAGGATATGCAAGTGTATGACTATCATGGGCTGAGACCAGATGACTAGAGCTGGTCACCAAGGTCTCACTTCCATTATCTTATTTCCTTTAGTTAGGAGGGGAGCATTTGGTTGGGCAGGTATCTTAGTTAAAGAATCAACCCAGAGGCACCTCATTATTTCTCACAGTCACCTATTCAGAGTCTGTAATAATTCAAGACCTTAGCTTGACTATAGGTTTCATTGTAAACCTACAACACTGTAACATCTAACACAGATGTGACATAAATACATATATAAATAACACTGTAACTTACACATTATTTACATCTAACATAGCAAAGATATTTAAACATTGTAAAGATAATTGTAAAGATCATTCTGACCAGGGCATAAAATTGTGCAGATGGTTTGAGTGTAACTATATATTGTAAAAAAAGAAAAACTTCCTCAAACTTGTGTAGATTTGAAAACTAAAATTCTGAGAGGAACAAAATGTTCTGATATATAGATTAACATTAATAATGGGCCCAGCTGGGCATGGTGGCTCACGCCTGTAATCCCAGCACTCAGGAGGCTGAGGCAGGAGGATTGCTGTGAGTTCGAGACCAGCCTGGGATACATACTGAGTTCCAGGTTAGTCTCAACTATATAGTGAGACCATGTCTCAAAACAATAACAACAACAATAAATAATAATAATAATAATGGGCCTGGATGAAACTACAGCTCCATCTCCCTTTTTTTAAAATGTACTATTTCTTGAATATCATGTTATTTCTTTTAAAATGAAACACTTAAACTGTGCTATTACTGTTATTCATGAGAAATTTTTAAAGATTTATTAGCATGACAGGATAATACATGTATTATTTAAAATTTAAATATGTATTCACTAAAGCAAAACCAGAAAATATATACATAAAATCTGTAACTAAGTTATTTCAAATTACTGCATATGTATCCCTAAAAAATATAACTCAGACTGGCCTGCTCTCAGTATGAATTATTGATGTGTTATTGCAGATACAGACTTAGTTATTTTGCTTGTTTCTGAGACAAAATACCCAACACCCAGAGTTAAAGGAGAGCTTTATTTGGCTCAGTTTGTAAAGGTTCCAGTTCATAGTCAGCTGGCTCCGAGGAAGGGTGGCATGGGATAGGATATCACAAGGGAGAAGAGTCCATGGCAAAGCAAGCAGGAGGCAACCAAGCAGCAAGCAGCAGCAGCCTGCCCTCTATCCCTCTATATTCCATCCAAGCTATAAAACTACTGGTTGGTGCCACCAACCCCCAGGATGAGGTTTCCATCATCCACACCCAGAACTGTGCTAAACATTTAGTTAACACACATCCTTAATCCCAGTATCACATCCTATATCCAGCTACTTTCCAAAAGCCTCATCTATGATTACTTTGGGGAGACATCTAGATACAGCCACAACACAGGCTATATATTTCCTACCAACTTGTCACAGAAACACTAAACATAATGAGTTCTGTCTAATTAAACTACAGGATTTTGGCCAGGGATTTAGCTCAGTGGTTCCACTGCCTGCCTGGCAAATGCAAGGTCCCCAGTTTGATCCCTGGTCAAAAAACATAAATAAAAAATTTAAAAATACAGGATTTTACTGAATGAAAAAAATGGTTTATTTATTGCCAGGTATACAGTATCAATGGTTGTCTTTTAACAACAATAACAATAAATACAGACTGAAAAGCAATTCAGCCTCAAAGAGGAAAATAATGAAACAGCAAGCTAAAAAAAATCTTAATACTTGCACCTAGGAATATTAAATTTTATTAAATATTTTGCTAAATCATTTTTTAAATAATGAGAAAAAACAAGTTTGTATAAAACTATCATGAGAGTACGTAGGCTATCAAATATGGGCCACATTTATTTATATTCATAAACACTCCCAAAGGGAATGCATAAATGTTATGTCAGAGATCCAACAAGAGCTATTAGGAGAAATGCATCCACTCTTGGTTATCTTCCTAACTACCACCCCAGGCCACACAAGAGCTTAAGTAATGGAACATGTTGGTTAGAACTCTATCTAAATGTTTGTCCAGACAGCCCAGTTTGTTTTGTTTTGATGGTACTGGGAATTGAACCCAGAGCCGTCGCACTGAGCTACATCCCCATCTATTTTTAAATTTTGAGATAGGGTTTCCCCTAAATTGCTAAATTGCCCAGCCTGAGCTCAAACTGCTTCAGCCTCACAGAGTCCTGGGATTACAGCACCAGCCCAGGAAAAGATCAAGATTCAAAATTCAGAGTGTGCTTTCTACTGAGTGTGCACCACTTCTGCACTGCTGCAAAGTCTAAAAGTGGCACCACTACCTGCCTTGCAAGCAGAAGGACCCAAGTTTGATCTCTGGTACCAAAAACAAACAAACAAACAAAAAAAAAAAATCAGGGACCATTTGTATTGATTCTCAGATCTTCAAAAGCAAGAACTCATTGATAATGTATAACTGAGTCTTTAATTATACAGCTCAACAATATACAAAACATCATCTTCAAAGTTAAGCTCTCTACACATACTTGGCCCAAATCACATCCCAAAATGTGTTATATTAACAAATCAGGGGTTGGAAAATAAAGGTTATGGCATTTTTAAAATACTACACAGTACATATAATTTTGAAATTTCTTTATTAAATTTAGTTATCAGAATCTCCACTTGCATTTCCATATCTAACCTATTTCAGACTGTACACCTGACCCACAGAAGAACCAGTCATCCTCTGGATCTTAGCAATGTTATTCTCTCTCACCCCACTTTCATCACTGCTGTTATCAAACAGCAAAGAGCTATCTCAGAGGGACAGGCAGCTCTACTCCCATGTGTTTAACCACAGGCTCCCACAGGATGGAAGAGACTTGCCTCCTTTGGCCCTATCTCAAATCGTCTACTGTGACAGGAATGCTGTCGTGTCTCTCTCTCTCAAAGCTGTCTCCACAGCTTCTAAGCAACTCAGTGGTCCTGTATTTATCCTTCCTGACTCTAGATTCCCACTAAGCAACTGTAGAAACCTATGAAGCAGTACCTCATTAATTCAGGATTTTGAAGTGTATTTCATGGGCTGTTTGATAATCTATATAAATAATAAGAAAAAACCCACTATCATATTAATAGAACTGGCTATTACTGCTTCACAGGAACAAAGCTGCCCTTTGATTCTGGGGCTGAATGGAGCTTGAATGTTATATGTGATACTAACTCAGGAATATGCATCTTTTTTAAATGATGCCATATAATAGCTCCTCAGTCTTTTTAATATTCTAAAAGCAATAAAATACTTGTTTATCCTAAAATTTACTTTATAATTTAAATTGAGTGTGCCTGTGAGTTTAGGTACATTCTTAACCTTTGAAGATTAGAAATAGGGTATATTTTTGCCAAAGAATATAAAGAAAGAAATGGCAGCAGGTGGAACCAGCAATACTATTGATTTTCTTTTTAAAAAATTTCCCCAGACTTTATAGGTGAAAAGGTAATAACCGTCAATTCTGCACAGAAGTGACTGGCTTCCAAGATAAAAATGAAATAAGAAAGGATAGGAAAATGACTCTGCTACAAACATAAGAGATATTCAACCCCCCCCCGAAAATAACAGCAACAATAAATTCAACAACACAATACTCTTTCAGAGAAGTATTACATATTCCATTTGTAGCAGCTAGCACCAGGTAAACAAATTATAGGTGGGAATATGCCATGTGTGGCACTAGAAGAACCATCACAGTTCATTAGCAGAATAAAGCAGACAATGGTGAGGTAAACAAATGTTACAACATAAAATATACTAGTAATGAAACTGTAATAAAATAGTTTAAGTGAAATTTACACCATTTTTTTTACTGAGACGACCAGATGTAAACATTCACATTAGTACTGCCTCCAAACTCTAACCAGTTGCACAAAAAAAATTTTTTTGTAACTACAAATTACAAATAATTGTACACCATGGCTCTTTGTTGTGATGGTTTTCAGAGTAAGAAGTGAACTGTGTTAAGTAGCTTCACTGATTTCTCCATCATGAACTGCCAGTTCTGGAACCTCGTTCATCCTCAGAATCTCTTCATAGAGCAAATAATTATGTAGGCTTCTAGGAAGCGGCAATTTCCGGATAAAACTGTCAGATTTTAAGTGTTCTGCTTTTAGGCTGGACCGAATTTCCAAACGACAAAGATGGGCTAAGGATGGAACAAAGGCTAGGGAGATTTAAAAAAAAAAAAAAAAAAAAG